AATGGAAAATTTCCATCGCCGTTGGCCAGCAAGGACAGCAGAATGCCACAATGTCGACTGTCAGTGAGAGGAAAAAATTGTCCTGGTGTCTGTACGTTACCGGTCAGTAAGAAGAATAGAATTCCCGTTTGTTGCTGTCGCTGGGATGAATTCCCCCAGCACTGGTATCTGTGAATAATAAAATAATATCTCCAACATTAGTGTATAGTAAACAATATCGCCAACATGTGTACTGTACTGTAAATGGATAATAAAAAATCCCCAGCAACAGTGTCTGTGAGACAAACAAGTAAAGCTGCAGTGGGACATGTCCTGGACTCATGGGACACTGGGCCTTTAGTGAAATCCCGGGACAGTTCCTCGGGGTCTAGGACAGTTGGGTGTAAGGGTCCATGCACACGGGTGTAAAAATCGTTCAGATCCGCACAGCATTTTTTTGAATCTCAATGCAGCAGCGTTGTATATTATGGGTCCATGCAGCAGCGTTGTATATTATGGGTCCATGCAGCAGCGTTGTATATTATGGGTCCATGCAGCAGCGTTGTATATTATGGGTCCATGCAGCAGCGTTGTATATTATGGGTCCATGCAGCAGCGTTGTATATTATGGGTCCATGCAGCAGCGTTGTATATTATGGGTCCATGCAGCAGCGTTGTATATTATGGGTCCATGCAGCAGCGTTGTATATTATGGGTCCATGCAGCAGCGTTGTATATTATGGGTCCATGCAGCAGCGTTGTATATTATGGGTCCATGCAGCAGCGTTGTATATTATGGGTCCATGCAGCAGCGTTGTATATTATGGGTCCATGCAGCAGCGTTGTATATTATGGGTCCATGCAGCAGCGTTGTATATTATGGGTCCATGCAGCAGCGTTGTATATTATGGGTCCATGCAGCAGCGTTGTATATTATGGGTCCATGCAGCAGCGTTGTATATTATGGGTCCATGCAGCAGCGTTGTATATTATGGGTCCATGCAGCAGCGTTGTATATTATGGGTCCATGCAGCAGCGTTGTGCTCAGTAATCGTGTGCTACATACTCTGGGTCCATTGTAGGGATTTCCTGATAGAATGTGAGAAGGAAATCTTCCAAGGGCTCATGGGCACGACTGACTGTATAAAAATAGAGCAGCCAATAGCAGGGATCTCAAGTCTCCCTGATGTTCAGGGAGTCTCCCTCTATTAGATAGCGGCTCCCTGACGTCCGCGAGAGAGGCATTTTCTCCCTGAAAGGTTTACTCTGAGTAAACCTTTCTGGTAAGATATCAGTGGGTATGGTTTCAGAGTGAGGCTTGCCTCCTGGAGAAAGGTCATGTGATTCTCTAGAGTAATAAACAGAAAGGGCACCTCCCTGAAATGAGACGGGAACCTCCCTGAAATGGAGGTTCAGACATCCCAACCTGCAAAAAGGTTTTGCAGGTTGGGATGTCTGCAATAGGATCCCTTGTAAAAAAAAAAGTGCTCTGTACGCATTTAACGTTTGTGGAATGTTCACATTCATAAAGCATATAACACAAAAGGTGCCCTATTGGTTGCTAGTCGCAACGAAGAACACCAAGCAGGAAGGGGCGGCTGCATTCTAGCAATGAAGGACACTAGGTGCTAGGGAGCCACCTGAATCATGTCAACGAGGATGCTAGGTGGCTTGAGTCACCTGCAAACTAGCAGCCAAGGACTCTAGGCAGCTTGTGTCACCTGTATCCAAGCAACAAAAGAAACTAGACAGTTTGTGCCACCTGTATCCTGGCAACAAAGGACACTAGGCAGCTTGTGCCACCTGTATCCTAGCAACAAAGGACACTAGGCAGCTCCTGCCATCTAGTGTCCTTTGTTGCGAAGACACAGATAGCTCCAATGGAGTGCATTTGCGCTGTAAGCATGTAAACATTAGTACAAACAATTACATGGAGGAAAAAATCACATGCTGGCTACCATGTTTTATGACAGGCTGGGGATAAGCACTCATAACTCAGTGGTTGTTATGGGTGATGGCTGGAGATCAGATAGCATACCTCACTGGTTGCTATAATTGATGGCCGAGGCTGAAAAGCAGCACTCATACCTTACTGGTTGCTATGGGTGATGATTGGAAATGAGCACTCATACCCCACTAGTTGCTATGGGTGATGGCATAAAAAGTGCTCTGTATGCTATACACAACATTTTTGTGCAATCTTTACATATGTACAGTGTATAATGCAAAGATGCCTTATCGGTTACTTGGATGGTAGGGCAACAAAGGTTGCAAAGTGGCAAGGAGCCATCTCCATTCTAGCAAAGAGAGACACTAGGCTGTTTGAGTTGCCTGCGTCCTAGCAACAAAGGCGGCTAGGCAGACTGAGTCACCTGCATCCTAGCAACAAAGGACTCTAGAATGCTCGAGTCACCTGCGTCCTAGCAACAAAGAACTCTATGCTGCCTGAGTTACCTCCGTCCTAGCAACAAGTGAACTCTAGGCTGCCTGAGTCACCTGTGTCCTAGCAGCAAAGGACTCTGGGCTGCTTGAGTCTCTTGCACCCTAGCAACGAAGGCCTCTAGGCAGATTGGGCCACCTGCATCCTAGCAACAATGGATGCTAGACTGTTCAAGTGACATGTGTCCTAGCAACAAAGGACTCTAGGCTGCTTGAGTTGCCTGCATCCTAGCAACGAAGGCATCTAGGCAGATTGACCCACCTGCATCCTATCAACGGAGGCCTCCAGGCAGATTGACCCACCTGCATCCTAGCAACGAAGGCCTCTAGGCAGATTGAGCCACCTGCATCCTGGCAACAAAGGATGCTAGGCTGCTCAAGTCGCCTGTGTCCTAGCAACAAAGGACTCTACACTGCTTGCGTCACCTGCATCACAGCAAGAAAGGCCTCTAGGCAGATTGAGCCACCTGCATCCTAGCAACAAAGGACGCTAGGCATCTCGAGTCGCCTGTGTCCTAGCAACAAAGAACTCTAGACTGCTTGAGTCGCCGGCATCTTAGCAACAAACGACTCTAGGCAGATTGAGGCACCTGAATCCGAGCAAGAATGGAAGCTAGGCAGCTCAAGTCACGTGCGTTTTACAGTTGTTTTACAGTTTTACAGTTGTGTGCATAAGCCCAAACAGGGCCACAAATGCAGGTGCACATGCAGGTGTGTGCATAAGCCCAAACAGGGCAGGTGTGTGCATAAGCCCAAACAGGGCCACAGCCAGCATGAAAAACCTAACAGACCCTCTGACCCTTCCTGCGCCATGCTAATAAAACATTTGGTTGGGGTTAGGCCTCTCTCCAACCCTGTGTGAGCAGACAATGCACATTATAATGCACACAGGGTGGTGAGGGAAGGAGCCCAGGGACACCTGACAACCCTTCCCTATCGGCCTGACACCCTGCAGCACCCAAGAGGCCCGGGCGTGTCAGTGCTATGGAGGAGGCGGAGTCGGAGAAGGCGGAAAGACATTCAGGAAACACCGGAGACTTCCCCGGGCCTAGGAGGCCCCCCTATGATCCCCGGGTGTTATTAGTGAGGCCTGTGGGAAGATGTGGAACCGCCTGGGCGCCTTCCTGCAGCAGGCCGTGGAGCCGGTGAGTGAAGAATCCAGGCCGGGGCTCAGCTCGGCCCGGTGACGTTGTACCGGATCCTGCGGTGCAGAGATCGGGATCGGGGCGATGTGCGGGGTGTCACGGGATCTGGTATATGTGTGTTGGAGTAGACAGTGCCCGCCGTGTTATATGACAGGGTGGGGATAAGCACTCATAACTCAGTGGTTGCTACGGGTGATTGCTGGCAATCAACACACATAGCCCACTGGTTGCTATGGGTGATGGCGGGGCTGGAGATCATGCATACTTAACTGGGTGCTGACTGGGGCTGGAAATCAGCATGCATACCTCACTGGTTGCTATGGGTGCTGACTGGGGCTGGAGATCAGCATGTATACCTCACTGGTTGCTATGGGTGCTGACTGGGGCTGGAGATCAGCATGTATACCTCACTGGTTGCTATGGGTGCTGACTGGGGCTGGAGATGTGCGCTCAATGAAGCTGCGTTAGGGCCTAGTACACACTGTGCGTTTATGTTTAGGTGAGCTCAGTGAAGCTGCGGAGGAGAAGATGGGAAGGTTCAGGAGGAGATGTAAACAAACATGGAAGTGGGCGGGGTCACTCTGCGTCTGTACTGCTGCCACCTCCACATTGTTTGTTTACCTCTCTCCCCCTGACCTAGGGGTCTAACGGACTCCTAGTGTCTCCTTAAAGAGAACCTGTGGTGTGCATGCATACAAAAGTGCTGATTGCGCCTCATTTAAGTATTTTGCAAAAAATTGGGTATTGTGTTTTTCTGCACTAAAATGAAGTGTTTTCTTTACTGAAATTTTGTTTTTTTTTATAAAGATTTGCGCTAATATCACGCAACATTAAAAAAATCTGCAACGTCCGTTATTGAGTCATCCGCAGCGCAGTGGCGGGGAGTTTTATCCAGGGCGCGCGTGGCCCCATGTAGCTTCTGGGATCTGAGGAGCTCAGGTTCAGACCCGTTCAGTCCAAACCTGAGCTCATCCCTACTGAAGATGATAGTCACCTAGCTCAATGTCATGCTAACCCAGGGGTGAGAAAACTCCAGCCCTCCAGCAATGGTGGAGCTACAAATCCCATTAGAGTGCATCTAAACCCAAAAACACTTTGCAACACTTTTGAAATCCCGAAAGTTGAACTGGAAATTGGCGGCTGAGAAATAATCAGCGACAATAATGGTTTTTGTCTAAATGGGAACTGGACTTTGATGACCCTTAAAGGCCTATTCCACCTTTCATACCATGTTTCATGTAACACCCATGTTTAGGGGGTAACATGGACCATGGTGCCATTCCTCAGCCCCTCCCCTTTACCTGCATCACAGGGATCTGCTCCCCACAGGCTTCTGTATATTTCTGAATTTGTCGTGACTCCACCCACAAGGCCGCTTCATCCATTCACAGGGTCTCTGAATGAAAACACTACAGGTCCCATCTGCCACCTGGGGCTGGGGGAATAGTCTGCAGGAACCTGGGTATTGCACCCGTCATCCACTGATCACAGTTGCAATGCTTTGCTGGACCCAATGCAAAAGATTAATCAATGCACCTTTTTTTTTTCCCCATTTGCAATATGGATCTATTTATTAATTTTCCTCAGAAAGTGGAATATGCCTTTAACATTGGGAGAAGGCGCATTAAACTGAACGTTGACTCCGATGTTCTTTTTTCCCCCCGTTTAGCGAGAGCCGGCCCAGGACCTGCTGCAGTCCTTTGTACATCACTGGAAAGGGGTGACTCAGTACTACCTGGAGACCACTGGTAAGTGACCGTCACATCCATCTAGTCAGCATGGCCAATGACCTTCTTGTTGTTCTCGGGCATTTTATTATTACTTTTAAAATATTTTATTTCCCCTTTTTATTAAAAGCAAAGTCCAAATTTTACGTAAATGTCCTAAATGCTCCAACACATATCATAAAAAAATGTACATTAACAATATTGTTGTACTGAGGCCTGCAAAGCATTACAACCATGATCAGTGTGTTGTGGGTATGATGCACCGGCTGCTGCATTGTTTAGCCTCAGTCCCGGGTCTGTATGGAGCAGTGATGTACGGTACCTCATATTCCGGGTGAGGCATTCCCCTGCCCCGCCCCCCGCCAGCAGAAGCCCTGCCCCGCCAGACAAAACCCTGCCCCTGCCGAACGAAGCCCCACCCCCAAGCTTGTGTGACGGAGGAAGGGGGGAGCCTCCCTGTCCCTTACTAACTACCTGTAATTAACAAGCAGCGCTCCGTCCATGACAGGTCACACAGTGGGGAGGATTTCCCTGACAGGTTACACAGCGGGGAGGATTTCCATGACAGGTCACACAGCGGGGAGGATTTCCATGACAGGTCACACAGTGGGGAGGATTTCCATGACAGGTTACACAGCGGGGAGGATTTCCCTGACAGGTTACACAGCGGGGAGGATTTCCATGACAGGTCACACAGCGGGGAGGATTTCCATGACAGGTCACACAGCGGGGAGGATTTCCATGACAGGTCACACAGTGGGGAGGATTTCCATGACAGGTTACACAGCGGGGAGGATTTCCATGACAGGTCACACAGCGGGGAGGATTTCCATGACAGGTCACACAGCGGGGAGGATTTCCATGACAGGTCACACAGCGGGGAGGATTTCCATGACAGGTCACACAGCGGGGAGGATTTCCCTGACAGGTTACACAGCGGGGAGGATTTCCCTGACAGGTTACACAGTGGGGAGGATTTCCCTGCTCTGTAACCTGTAACATGCCGATCTGAATGGAGAAAAAGCTGTCAGCTTCAGACTTGAAACTGACAGCTTTTTCCTTCATAATTCTAGGTGAGGCTCTGCCTCCCCTGACCGCACGTCCCTGGTATGGAGGTACCGACCTTCTGTTGGGGGGGCTGGAGAAAGTGCTGAATGGACTATGATTGTGGTGACGTCACCGCCCCACTGCCAGCATACTGTCCTGAGTCACTCTGCCACGGTGGCAGATGGGACTTTTCATTGATATATTCTATTGAATGGATGACACGGCTATGCAGGCGGCGCCACGCACAGTTGTGCTGAATTCAATCAATAATAATAATAATATTTTTTTTAAATAAATTCTTTATTTTGAAGTGTCTTAATGAAGTTCAAAACATCAAAAATGTACAGTAGTGAAACATCAGTAGGAAATATAGGACATCGGTACGGGAGAGTAGAATGTCTGCACATCTGAGCGACCATGTGTGGCTATGTGGCAAGGCTACGGTGCCATGCACTTCAGTGGCCTGCCACGCCCCCTCCGGCCCCACAAAATAGTGAGCCGGCTGCAATGCGATGTAGTGCGTTCCAGCCTGAATCGGACCGAAACGCACTGCATGTAGTGTGAATGGGCCCTTAAGGAGCAGGTGTCACGCGGGTGTCTCCCGTACAAAGTAAACTTGATGGAGAAGGAAGGAAGGGGGGACGGGGTAGAGCAGATTGAAAGAGGAAAAACAAGTACAAAAGTATGGTATAGGAGAAACCCCGATATCCAGCAGCCTAGCATCACCGAGATAGGTCCGCCTCAAAATGCGTCCTAGCCCGGCGGTGTCATGCAACAGAGATGAACGGTGATCTCCACCCCAGCCAGCACAGCAGCCACCGCACTTCTCAGCTGCTCCCACCTTACACCCCCCCCAGCAGGTCTATATAGTCCTGGGATGCAGGGAATTCCGTCCAATAAAACCAAATACGCTTGAATTGGGGTACCCTATGGTTCGCAGAAGCAAGGAGATCCTCCATCCTATAGATATCCCCAACCCTTGAAAGCCACAATGAGATTGGGGATGCAGATGTGTGCTTCCAGCCACATGCAATATAAAGAACTCTGCAATTCAGATGGGGATGGGGGGTGGGCGGTATAGGTTAAGGGGGATGGTGTAACATGGTCTAAAAAGTGGACTATGTCTTTAAGGTTTGCTTACTATATTTGAGCCTGACCCTTGCAGCCTATTCACACTATGTCATTGCAGTAACATGCAACAATGCACATTACGTATGTTGATGCAGAGTGGTGCCATGCATTTGGAGGGCTCCCCAGCGCACACCTTGCCAATGGACCTACATTGCAATGCAGCGTGCTAAACAATGCATGCATCAGCACACTGCAACATGTTGCACATCCATTGGAAGGTACGTTGGAATGCCATTCAGAAGGAACGCCTCCGTATCGCACCTACGCAATTAACTGTTGCTGTGCGTTGCGTTAAGGCTTGCTTCCGGCCCGGCTATGCTGTTTATATGGCTCATTGCATTTACCGCTGCCTTTGTTTTCCCCACAGATGAGGCCTGCCCAGCACGTAATACAGACATCCCATGGAGGCTCCGCCAGCTTCTGGATATCCTTGTCTATGAGGAGGGGGGTTCATTGGCTAGTGAAGGCTCAGGGGGTGGAGATAAAGGCGGATCTGCTGACAGTACCGGACCCTGCATGGAGTATCTTCTACAGCACAAGATACTGGAGACACTTTGCACCCTGGCAAAAGCAGAGGTACTCACTATACGATGTTATCCAGACACGACTATTCCTTGCATGGCAAGAGCTCATACAGGGTTCCTGAGCTGTGATGTCAGTTTAGTGCAATACAAAGGAAATGAAGGAAAAGGCTTGTGCTTATTTCTCATATGTACTCCGTATTCTATAGTTATACTGCTTCCTGCCTTTGTGAGCATACTAAAGAACGCTCCATGAGTGTTCTTTAGTATGAGGCCTAATACTGGCAACACATACTTGGCAGTTTTGGAGCTTTCCATCAGCGCACAGCCATGATGATCTGTCACATGGCAGTTTTTGTCATGTCCCAGTTTCATTGTGTGCATCAGTCTTTCTCAACTAGGGTTCAGTGGAATCCTAGGATTCCTCCAGAGGATGCCAGGGGTCCCCTAAGCAATGAACCATTGGAGAATTCAGATAAGGAACCACTGACACCAATGATCTTTTTAGCTATGTGTAAGGGTGCATTATTCCCACTGAGCACCAATGTAAGGGGCATTCTTCCCAGTGACCACCAATGTAAGAGGAACATTTTTCACACTGAGCATAAAGAGTTTGTTTTTATGTGGAAACCCGATGTCTGACATCACACATCATTGGGCTCATACATACAGGAGTTTGAGGACATGTAACGTTTGGGCATATTTCCTTGCCTGGAAGCCACATGTGCTGTGTATAGCTGCCCATAGAGACCAGTGGCTGTATGTGGATGTACGCAGGTATCTATTGGTAAGTGTGTAAACATGTACATGGTCATGCAACCCTGAACACAGACAGTCTGCATTGGGGGTTGTATAGCCATGTACAGGTGTGTGTTCATCCAAGTACTGGTGTATATCTGCATACAGCAATTTATATCTATGGGCGGCAGTGCCTGTGGCTCCTGGACCCGAATTTTACATTATACGCCCCCATGTGTCTGTGTGCATGAGCCCGTACATTGGTTGAATGTGGTTCAGAGGTGATTTGTTTCAAAGATGAGAAAGATTTTAGTAAACCTTTTTCTTTTTGTGATTATTGCTCAGCATACTTCCATCTCTGTCTTCACCACAGTACCCCCCCGGAATGAGGCAGCAGGTTCTGGTCTTCTTCAGTCGCCTTTTGGCTAAGGTGCAGCGTCCCCTATTGCACTATATTAATGTCCATCGTCCTGTACAAGTAAGTAGTGAAAGCATGCAAATTAATCTTTTCTATTTTCTAATTGTCCAAAGCAGTTTATTAGAACACTTGTGCTGTGGTGCCTCTGATGGCTCCTGTCATATTGACAACCCCTATACTAGCCCCCCAGCTAGTGAGTATGCATAATAACATTAAAGTAGAACAGCGGACAAAATAAAAAATTGGACATGTGATGCACAACGTCGGTAGTAACACATATATATTATATAATTTTTTTTTTTTTTTCTTAGTCCTGCTGTAACATCCCACTAAGGATCTTGACATTAGATCTGTTGTTTTTCCACTTCCTGTGGCAGTTGCAAGGGTTGGGACAAACCATATAACATTGCCATGGGCGCTTACACCAGTCAGCTTTTATTCATATGGTTTAAACCTTTGATTCCCAACTGGTGGGTCGTGACCCAAAAGTTGGTCGCACCCCCATGTTTAGTGGGTCACTGCATGCCTTCCACTTTTCTAGGTGAGAGGCTGCTCTGCCTCCCCCTAGCGCAGCACTGTCAGTTCTCGCGCCAAGCAGCCATTCAAAATATGCTGCCCGATGCCGAGTGTCAGCTTGAGGGGGGGGGCTGGAACTATGGCTGTGAGGGATGTATGGATGTTCTGTTAAGGGCGCCTGGACCGGAGTCACATCAGATTCTGGCTCCTGGCACCTCAAGGTACGCAAGGGAGTTGTACAAGCAATGCATGTATGGATCATCACAGCACTGGAGCCCACACTGGACACCAGGCTGAGGATCCACTCCAGTTCTCGTAAGGTAGGGAGACTGGGTGGATCTTAAAAAAAAAAAGTGGGGAGTTTGTATGTGTGGTTGTGCCTGTGGTTGTGGGTGTCTGTCAGTGTTTTTGAGGGCCCGTTCACACTAGTGAAGTGCGTTAATCGAACAGTGCAATGCAATCACACCTACTACGTGTTCCGGTGTGGGAGGTGCATTGCGTTGCCCTTCATTTGAATGGCACCCCAAACACACAACCCGCCCACAGTTCAATCGACCGCACCAGAACGTGCGGTACCGCAATGCCATGCATTCCATTGCAGTGCGATTTGGGTCGGTACTTAATGGTCAAGGACATATGTGGGCCCTGATGTTACACAGTTTGAGAACCACTGGTTTAAACCTTTTAAGTAGAATAAAGCCCTATTGCCGGAACTACAGAAAATCGGTTACATTTACTTGTCTCTTACTGAAAGCATACAGTATAAAACCACAAAATTTATTTTTTTTCCAGTATGTTTGACATCACGCCTTACTGCATACAGTTTTCTTGGGGAAATCATTTTGTTAAGAATCTGCTGCAAAGTTTCCTAACCAGGGAGGTGCTGACAGTAGCAGCACTTCCTATTGTAGGCTGACAACAAGGGCAAGATTGCAGGAGAATTATGAGGCGAGTGATTTTCACTCAGCCTCATAATCTGAGCCGACCTGTGAAAATGAAACTGTCACAGGTCAGCTCAGTAGATCGGGAAGTGAGCGAACACATACCAGCGCTCGCTCACTTCTCGATCTATCCGTGCAGAGAGCCGTGACTGTCACTCACGGCTCCCTGCAGGGATTCCCCCCTCCTCCCCTGTCCGATCCTCCAGCGCTGACGGGAGGGGGCGGGTACAGCTGGCTTCTCTTTAAAAGGGAACTATTCAAATATAGGAACACCTTAAAAGTTATGTCAAATATCATGTTGAATTAAGTTAGTATCTCAGGCTGTGGAAAATCATCTGAACGTTTAATTGCCAGAGCTTCTGTGGACGATAGAGACTCTGGCATTTGAAAGATAAATGATAGCGTGCGGGTCATAATCTCAGCTTGTAGAGAAGTCATGTCCTGTGTATAGGCTGGGCCAAGGATCCACGGGGCTCTGCAGGGGTAAAGGGCTGGCTTGGAAAATTAACACAGGTACTTCCAAACTCCCCAAAGGTGCCTGAACTTCAAGGCCAAGTCCAGCTTTCGAGCCATGTTTTATGTTACTCCCTTATGAAGGGGTAATGTGAAAAATGGTCACATACCCCATCCCTAAAACCTGCACCCACCCCTCCCATTACCTGGAATGCAGGGTGCCTCTTCTTGGAAAATCCTGTTGTGTTTTTTGTTTTTTTTTAATTTAGCATGTTATCAAGTTCTGGAAACAACATATTACTAGCATGGCAGAGGGACTTGGCAAAGGGCAACAGCAGGAGGGGGGGGGCGACATCACCACAATTGTAGTTCAGCCACACTTCCTCCAGCCCCATAGGGGGTAAAAACTGCAAGAGCCTGTACATTGCACCCATTTTTAGAACAAAGGGCACTTATTCTGTTGGCCTCCTTCCACTGACATAACCTTATCCACCCTTCCCCTCCACAAATGCATGCTCACCTCGATCCAATGACCGCAGTTCTGGCTGGGCCATGCCTGCACGTTTGTACCCAATAAACCTCTATGGGGCTGTCCCAAGGCTGGGGTTATTCAGAGATGCATGGAAATCTATGGGGCTCTAGTGTGCAGACACAGACTTGGGGCTCTGGATGTTAACAATCAGCGGGATCGAGGTAAGTATGCATCTCTGGAGGGGCAGGATAGGTTAGGGCAGGGGGCAAGAAGCATAGATGTACTTTGTTTGAAAGTGCATCTATCCTTTACTACATTTATCATAGTTAGCATCAGTGGAGCTTATATTGCAATGCCCCTGCATAATGTCCCAAACAAAGGTTAGTGTTTCATTAACACTTGAAGGGCAATGGGGATGAATCAACTTATCCTTTTAAATAATCTGCATAAAAAGGTTTAGGGAAGCCTGGTGCTGTATAAATAAATTATAACAATTCTTATGCCTTTACTTTCTATAACGCAACACACAGGGTTTTATGTACAGGACATTCACACAGTCTATTCTTACTATAGGGTGAGCTTGTGAAGAGGACGATTTCCAATGAAGAAGATAATGAGCCAGCTACTGGATCCGCCAGTTGTAAACCTAAACAGACATTATTCAGAGCTTTACTCAGGCTGTGTCTGTGCCAGGTACAGAAATCTGACATTGAAGGGTAAGGGTTTACGTTGTTTGTATGACAAGCATCTAACTTGGATTCCTCTCAGTCACAGAAAGGCCGACTTGCCGTTCGAGCAAAAGAGACTCTCCTTGGGGTCCTCCGCACCGCCCAGCAAGAGGCTCCAGCACGAATCATTGCACACAGCGACCTGAGCCAGCAACTGTCAGAACGACTGTGTGACTTGCACGACGACATCCCTCTGAGCGCTCACCCGTGTGACATCACCAGTCAGGAGGACACTAATTGGAGGTCAGATTGGAGTCATTTTGTTCACGTTCAGTTCCACCAACTTCCTCGTGGCCACCCCACTCCTGTCCTGCCCGCTCCATCTCTGTGGGGCATGCACGCAGGATCTCCTGGGTTTATTGGCAAACTGTGTGCATCCCTACAAAAGCCAGCCCAGTGCTCTACTGCCGGGAATGCATGTGAAATCACCTTGGATGATTGGCAGCCGGGCGCCACATTCACAAAACGGCACTTGGCGGAAGATGTCAGTGCTTACCTGTAGAAACATAGGCTGTCTGTGGAATCACCAGGGGTGGCTTCATAATATGGTTTCATACGTATATGAGCTTCTGGAACAACCTCAGTTCATAGCCTAAGTCAAAAGGGAAAACCTGTAAAGACATTTTCAGTACATCTGTCCAGTTAATGCACATTTCCCCTTTTGTGTCTCTCTAGAAAGACTGCAAGTACAGAAAAATACCCTGTGACCATGCCAGAAATTCAGTGCGTTGTTTAAGGCCTCGTTCACACTGATAAGAGTTGGCCCGTACAGATCCGTGTGGCGTGCACGGCTGTATCCGGCCGCTCCGGGGAAGGACAGGTGCTGTTTGTGATTGCACGCAGCAACCTATTCTTCTCTATGGGAAGACGCTCATCCGAACTGCACATCCATGTGGGTGCGGGTGTCCGTGCTCAGACGCAGACAGGATCCATCCTGTCTGTGTACGAGCACCCGCACGGATGTGCAGTTCGGTTGAGCGGGTGGCCGCGTACTCCCATAGAGAAGAATAGGCTGCTGCGTGCAATCACACGCAGCACCTGTCCTTCCCGGGAGCGGCCCGATACCGCCGTACACACCGCACGGATCTGTACAGGCCGACTCGCATCAGTGTGAATGAGGCCTTAAGTGGACAACACGGTGCCTCTCCTGCTTTGATATCCCAAACATTGGTAGGAACATTGACCAAATGAACTACAGAACCTTTCACCCTATTCATGGTCATGAGGAGAAGGGAGATATTCTGTAGTCATAACACACTTCCTGTCTTAGGGTGCCAATGCTGCTTCTCCATAAATACAATCAGCGAGTGAGTGTTGTCACTCTAGGACAGGAAGTGTGTTACTGTCAGGATCATCAGATGCAAATAGAGGAAAAAAGGCCTAAAAAAAAAAACAACTAATGCAGCCACCACATCTAAGGACTTCTAAGCTGCAATATATTACATTTATTTATTTTTTTGGCTTTAGATAGTTTAAACAGACTCCCGGTGGCAAAAGTCACCGGGAGTCTGTTTAAACAGCCCCGATGCTGGCGACGTACACTGTACGTCGTCAGTCACGAAGGGGTTAAAGTTGGCTTTCAGGGAGAATGTGGGATACAGGACTACTGCCAATATATTATTAGATCATATAATGTCACATGATTCTTAACTCTGTTTCCTCTGCTTTGCAGGACAGAAGTCAGCAAAGAGGAGTTTGACGCCACGCCACCAGAGACGGCCGCTGTGCGGAGGTTTCTGGGCTGGGTAGAGTTCTGTAACTCTTTATTACAAGAGTCCCATGAGGTGAGATGTAATTTAGACCTTCACTGTATTTCTCTCGGACTCTATCTGAACCTTACTGAGTTAACCGTCTCTCCTTTTCTCCTCATAGATGGTTGCTGCGTCCATAGCAAAGGCTATAACAGAAGTCTACCTGCAGGGAAAACTCCAAGACGAACTGCTGCAAGTGTAAGTGGCAGGAATATGACACCCGCCCACCTTCCCGGTCCCCTTCGTACCACTTACTTTAACTTCATAAATGTCATTTTACAGAGGATTAAGCTTCTATACCTGGCCAGGGCCTGTGTTTTAAAATCTGGAATCCAGGGTTGAACCAGACAGAGCTGATTTCTCTCTTTGGCTCATCATAGATCGAGTTCCTGACTCTTGTGTGAACCACTAGACTCATGGCCTGATCTAAGGGTCCTCCATGAAGGAAATGAGACCAGAAACTTCTGTACCTGCGTACCTGTGATTGTGAATGTGTCAGCATCCCCCCTTAAAGTAGAGCTAAACAATTCAATAGTCCCCTTATGTCCATTGATGCAAAGCTCCCTCACGGGTGCTGACATCTTCTCCCCAGATTTTTATGTGTTTGGGGTTTTTAGCCATCTTGACTGGCCGGGATGACATACCTCCCGCACATGGAACCGGCACCAAGGTGTGTCAAGGATGTACACTGAGCTGTGCATGTGCAGCACCATGTACATTCTAAAGCATCCTATGAGCAAGAAGGTAAGAAGCCTTTTTCCAGATTAGTGGTCTTTAGCAATGTTGATTGGCCGGGGTGACGTACCTCCGGCACATGCACATGGAAGTGCATTCTTTCCTGAAACAAGGTGTGCCAAGGATGTACACTGAGCTGCACAAGTGCGACACAGTGTGTATTCTAAAGCATCTTACGAGGAGGAAGTTAAGAAGTCTTCTGCATTCAGGGTCTATGGCCATCTTGATTGGCCAGGGTGATGTAACTCATGCACATGGCAGCGCACTCATCCTGGCACCAAGGCATGCCAAGGATGTACACTGAGTTGCCCATGTGCAGCACAGTGTACACTCTAAAGCATCTTACAAGGAAGGTAAAAAGCCTTCTTCAAAATTCAGGGTCTTTGGCCATCTCTTGATTGGCTGGGATGACCAAACTCCCGCACATACACATCAAAGCGTGCACATCATTCCTCCCAGCACAAAGGCGTTCCAAGGTTTAAGTAGTACTCCTAGAATGAGATCCTAATAGGTTGGACTTGATGGTCTAATGTCTTTATTCAACCTCAAATACTATGTAACTATGTAAGGATGTACACTGAGCTGCGCATGTGCAGCACAGTGCACATTCTAAAGCATCTTGCGAGGCGGAATATAAGAAGCCTTTTTCTGGATTCAGGATCTTTGGTCATCTTGATTTACTGGGTTGATGTAACTAGCATAAATGCAAATGGAAATGCATTACATTCGGGACCAAGGCATGCCAAGGATGTACACTGAGATGCGCATGTGCAGCATAGCATACATTATAGCCTTTATTTCAGAAGTAACCTAGTATATCACTTCTGCAATCAAAATCCTTCCTGCTCACAAGCTTTACAATTCAGGGCAAAGTTCTGATTGAACGGTTATTGTGGAAGAGACTGGTACTGGTTTGTTACTGCAAAATAAATGCCCTAGAGAAATGATATCTGGTAGCTTGGGTGGGGGGGCATATACCCTCCTGTGCTCCAGTTTTTGTATAGCTCAGAGTGCAGAGACCAATGATGTACTGTAACCTCTTGCAGCCAAACTCATAGAAGGGAGCAGACATAATGTGGCGCAGCTGTGCATGGCAACCAATCAGCTTCTCTCTTTCATTTTACAATCTTAACTGAACAAAGTGAATAGAGAAGCTGATTGGTCGCCATGCACAGCTTCTCCAGATTTTGTCTGCTCCAGTTTTGATGAATTCCCCTCATATTGTTTTAACCCGTAGTTGGGCTTTAAATAAATATTTTCTGTTTTTATTACATTATTTTAAATGCAGTGATGTCATCATCGGGTCTCTGTGCTATACAGGTAGACCATGATTAGTGGGAGGGTCCGGCAGGGTGCTGTACATAGCTTCCTGAAAATATCACAGCACTCTGCGTCAGTACTCCTCTTAAGAGCTCTTAGTCCTCATGGATGAAGTGGGCTGGATCTTGGGAGGAGTTATGCAAATATCAAAAAGCCATGATGGGCAGTCTGGAGAAGCGGGTGTTCATAGGAAGGTTATATACGCATAAAGATCACTCGTGATACTGATCCTCCCTCATTGGAAGCACTGACATCCAATAAATGAAAGGGGCGGGCCAGGGCAGTCAGGCTGGGGAGGAAAGAGCTAGATGGTGCTGAACATCTTCGCAGTAGGAAATGAGGCAGGCTCTGTCTGACTTGCCGCATCTTCTAATGCACATTGTAAGCAGTGAGATCAAGTTAATCGTGTGGCACATTAGTGCCTGCATTCCGGTCCAGTGCGATCTGCAAAAACAGTGCTTGCAGCATTTTTGCAGATCGCAGGGAGCCAGCCAGAGTGCGCTACAGTGGGGGGAATTTATGAAAACTAGAGTAGACAAAATCTGGAGCAGCTGTGCATGGCAACCAATCAGCATCTCTGTTTCATTTTCAAATCTTAAATTAACAAACTGAAGATTGAAGCTGATTGGCTGCCCTGGGCAACTGCTCCACTTTCTGCCTGCTCCAGTTTTGATAAATCTCCCCCAGTGTGTTCAAGAGTCTGACCGCTCTGGAACGCACTGTTTGTGGTGTGAACTACCTCTAAAGGACCAATCGGAGCAAGCTCGTATCCAGCGTGCCATTATGAAAGAGCCAGGGAGCATATTAAGCGCAATAAAATCAGCTTTAAAAAGGTTGGATCCCCACTTAAATTTTTGGGCACATTGGCTTACCAAGCCCTGGGATGTGTCCAGCCTTGACTCCGGTTATTCATATTGTTATGTGGTGTTGGATCCATGTGCCGCAGTGTGTTGGGATAGATGCACGCATTAATAATACACATCTGTGTTCTTCCTGTAGATCAGAACTCCGTATTCTGAGGAGCACAGCTCTACTCACCGCTCTGCTCCAGCGTCTGAACTCATCAGCATTACTGCGCCCGCTTCTGATTTTCCTGCTAGGAGAGGAGGGCGGCCCGGAGAAAAGGAGCGACAAACCTCCACCACTCCGATCCCAGCTGATCCAGAGGTGCAACCATCTCTCCGACGAGGTAACCAGCACACGGCTCCGACACTGCTACATGCCTAGTACATGTCAGTGCAAATTTAGGAAGACCTTAAAATACACTCGGTTTTACACTTTGTTGCCACATTGGGATTGCGTTGGTCCGTACTCTGCAGTACTATACCGGTGTCTCAACAAAGATGTGTGACAGAAGCCATTCTTGCAATGTTAGGGCTGATTTCACATTTCTATGACTTTTTCATCAAATAATATATTACTGCTTACCAAGAGAAGTCTCCAACAAGCATGGGAGTGTTTATTTTATTGTTATGGCAAAGCTGTAACAGAATGGGAGTCTCATGGTGATGCTTTCAATCAGTCTATATTTTCTCTGAACGACCTCGACTTTTCATCTTGGATGCTGTTACCACTATACAGGGAATTGTATTTCACTTTCCTGGATATATGATCGGGTATTGCTTTCATTCTAAATTGCAATACATTTTATATTCTGTTCCCCCGCAGGTTTCCGCTAAAACTTGGTTATAAATGCATCTTCCTGCAGATGTGCAAAGCTTATTTAAACACAAAAGTGTGCTTAAATGAGCATTTAACACACATTTTTAATGTTTAATGAACACATTTTTTTTTATAGCTGGCAATAGTTTTCCGTTTTCAGGATGAAAACATTTTTAGCAAAACACAAAATACCTGAAATGCTTTGTCCTTGTCACTTCCTGTGCACTGAAAAACCGCAAAGAATCTTCTCTTTATTGTGTGAATGACCTAGCCCCATCAATCCACCATGTAATGAAGATGAACAAAGGCAGCCAATGTTTGAAGTCCAGCCTGTGTGACAACCATGTCTACCTCCATAGATACAGTGGGAAAATGAGTGTAGACATGAAGAGACAGGAAGTGTTTTATTTGCATGATCACCAGTTCATATTAAAGCCTGAAAAAGAAAACTAATGCAAGTGTCACATCTAAGGACGGTTAAGCTGCGATATGGAATACATTTTTGGGGTACACTTTAAAATATGTGTAGGCCATCACCTGACAGCCCTCTCCTCTCCTGCTTGTCATTGTCTTATAGTCGTCTGGAGCAGCCCAGTTACCAAGTCCTATCAGCTGAAGAATCGTGACTTTCTATTTGTTTCTTCAGATAAGTCTCACCACCATGCGTCTGTTCGAGGAGATGTTCCTGTCATCTGATTCGATGGTCCTGAACAGTCTGGTGCTCCGCAACCTGGAGAATCGGCGTTACCTGTCCGGGGGAAGTGAGGAGAGCCGAGCGCAGGATGGGGAAGCCTTTGAAGGCACAGAGTAAGTTGCAGCATTGTTGGATGTGGTAATGGAAAACCTTAAAGGGAACTTGTACTTTACCATGGAAGGCTGAGCAACAGGGTCACCTAAATCTGAGCTCCGGCCTTCACAGTTGTACCGGCTCCTCTCCTGGACTGAAATGGCTTACTTTGATTTCACTGCACACTGCGAGATTCTCACAATGTTCATTGGAAGCTGAAGCAAATCAGATAGAGCCTCTTGGCTGGAGGACATCCAGCATCATCTAGGTCAGGTGTGCCTATTAGGTCGATCGCAAAGCGAACACTGGTAGATCACGATCGGGTCGCTTACCTGAGCTCCCTCCCGCGGTGCTCGTGCAGCTGAATGTGTCAGGCACTGCAGACGCGAAGGGGCGGGACACCTCTCCCCGTCTGCACATTCGGTCACACGAGCACCGCGGGAGGACAGGACACCGCACCTCAGAGGAGACCCGGGATGCTGCTGCAGTGCAGGTAAGGAAAGACAGCCAAGAGAGAGCAGGAGAGAGAGAGAGAGACGAGGGACAGCAGAGAGAGAGAGACGAGGGACAGCAGAGAGAGAAAGACGAGGGACAGCAGAGAGAGAGAGAGAGACGAGGGACAGCAGAGAGAGAGAGACGAGGGACAGCAGACAGAGAGAGACGAGGGACAGCAGAGAGGGAGAGACGAGGGACAGCAGAGAGAGAGGGACAGCAGAGAGAGAGAGAGAGACAAGGGAAGGCTAGAGAGACGAGGGACAGCAGAGAGAGAGAGAGAGACGAGGGACAGCAGAGAGAGAGAGACGGGAGAGAGCGAGGAGAGGCAGCCAAGAGAGAGGGCTGGTTCACACCACAAAGTCTGCGTTCAGCCTCTGGAACGCAAGCCGGCCGGCTCCCTGCGTTCAGGGGCGGGAGGGGGAGTGGCGGTGCATTAAAGTCAATGGCAGTGCAGCCATTTTTGCGGATCGCACTGGACTGGAACGCAGGCACGGATGTGGCACGGGCAATCGCACTGCGGGCAGGGGGTGTGGCTGCGTGCCATTGACTTCAATGCACCGCCCCCGCCCCTGAACAGGGAGCAGGCCGGGTTGCGTTCCACAGGCTGAATGCTCTGGAATGCAGGCTTTGTGGCATGAACCGACCCAGAGAGAGACAGCAGAGCGAGGCAGTAGCCCCAGTAACAATTTTAATGTGCTTGTTTTCTAAATAAAGGTGTTTTTTTGTTGGTTGATCTCCATTGAGCTCGTCATTTGAAAAGTAGATTTTCCAGATGAAAAATTGTGGGCGCCCCTGATCTAGGTGCTTTCCTCTCCAACCTGACTGCCCCTGGCCCGCCCCTTTCATTCATTGGATTTCAGTTCTTTCAATCACAGAGGCTCAGCATCACATGTGGGCGTTACCTAGGATGGTCTGTATGCCAATGCAGCCTGCCTAGGAACACCAGCTCCTCAAGACTGACATCCCACCCCTCAAGACGGTTAGATATTTGTATAACTCCTCCCAAGAGCCAGCCCACTGCTTGCTTTAAAGCTGAGGGTTCGTGAGAAGAGTACTGAGGCAGGGTGTTGTGATGTTTTCAGGCAGCACTCTGCCAGCCATGATCTGTCTGCATTGCATAAAGAAGCACAGACACCCAGTGATGCCTAAAAAAAAATGTAATGAAAAGGTTTTAGTTACAAATGTTAATGGGGGGTGGGCATGAGAAAGCAAAATATATGCAGATTAAACTGCCCCCTTCTTCATCTGCATATACTCACCATCCCTTTGCTGCCCTCCCAGTCCATTGAGCTGCTGGGCATCGAAGGGAAGTCCCGTGTAAGGTTCACAATTTGAGCATTACACAGGGTTGTAAACATCCCACACACGCAAGTAACATCTCTCAGTGTGTGAGTGGCCAGTCACCAGTGCTGCCATGTGGTAAGGACGGGAAGTAAGTCACATGCTCCCCATACTCATAAGTACGAGAGATTTCTGCTTTTTTTGAGCAGCCAAAAAGATGGTCAGGGAGGTGAAGGGACGGTGAGTATGTGCAGCCGGGGAGGGTGATCATTTAGTATGCCCAGCATGGGAATTATACTTGTCCTCCCTTTTATTCTCCCACCACTCCATTCCCCTGCAGGCCCTGTGTAGACTCCAGGATGTCCCGTTTAGAGCTGGGGTGGGCAACACCGCCCCTTCAGCTGTTGTAGAACTACAAGTCCCATGATGCATTGCAAGACTGACAGTTGCAGGCATGGTTCCCAGCGTATGTTAGGATTTCTCGTTAAAGCAAAGCTGAATGGCTGGAGTTGCCCGCCCCTGATTTAGAGCTTACGCAGCACTTACGATGCTCCTTCTGACCCCATGTGACAGTTTTGCTACCTGGCTATTGGCCACTCATAGGGGAAGGAAGAGGAGAAAGTGATATGCTCCATATACCTGAATGAAGCAGGTTGTCTCTTCTCCCCATGGACAAAGCTCAGGTTCACATGTACATAGTCATTTTCCTGATCTAATTACCTATCCCTCCACTCAGACATTGCATTTCAGAGCCGTTTGTGTATAAGTGATATGGCACTGTAGTTCAGTGCCCGGCAATGAAACTACATATCTCAGAGTTCCTGTGATCACATGTACAGGCTGAAAGAGCAGAGTGCATTCTCGTAGTCAATGGCCCAGACATGTGACTTGATCACATCATATCTTTTTGCTCCCCAACGTCCCATCCATCCTGGATTATATCTAGAACGGTGGCAATTACACAGACTGCAGGTTTTATGCCGAGGACTGCCTACTGGTATGCAGTTTAAAGGACAATAAGAGGAATTTATCAAAACTGGAGCAGCTGTGCATGGCAACCAATCAGCTTCTCTCTTTCATTTTCAAATCTTAGCTGAAAACACTGTAGAGAGAAGCTGATTGGTTGCCAGGGGCAACTGCTCCAGATTATCTCTGCTCCAGTTTTGATAAATTCGCCCCCAATATATTTGACTACACTGCACAATCATTTCTATCCTGGGGCCCCTTGACTGCGCTGCAATGTTTTACTACAGGGGTAGGCATCCACAGCACTCCACTTGTTGTGGAACTACAAGTCCCATGGTGCATTGAAGGACACTGACAGCCTCAGGCATGACTCCGATAAGGAGAGGCTGAATGGGTTTTGTGGTTTCACCGCAGCTGGAGTGCCAAGGTTGCCTACCCCTTGCTGTAGAGCATTGCTACAACCGGCACAGCCTGCAGAGCATCGCTACTACCAACAGCCCACAGAGCAATTCTCTCATTCAATATTGCAAAGCCTTTTCCCAAGCCACCTCTACCTCTGAAGTGACGCACAAGTCCGCATATTACGCAATACACCGCACAACTGGAGTGCCAAGGTTGTCTAGAAGTGCCAAGGTTGCCTACCCTGGTTTTCTATAAGGTGGGCTAACCCTTTAAATGTCTGGGAATTATGTATTACATTGTCTATAGATCTTCTTCTAATTCATTCAATGGATGTACTTGCTTAAACTTTACAAACTTGGTTCTCGTCTGCAGTGAGCTTGAAGAAGACCCTTACTTCACAGATGGGCTTCCAGATACCGGCCCACAGATGATGGGAAGAAACCAACGACATCACGGAGAGTCCATGGGAGCTGAGCAAAGCATGAGAAGGTGAGGGGCCACTGCGCGTGGTAAGGGTTAGACCAATCATAGTGGCAATTCTTTCAGAGGTTCTCTGCAGACAATTGAATTGAAGAAAGATGTGACTCTAATCTCTGTCCCAACTGCCGTCTGTCTATAAAGACATCACTGTTACTCTGATTGCTGGTATGCACCACTAATCTCTGGCCCAACTGCCGTCTGTCTATAAAAATCTCTATAAAAAGAGATTAGGGGTGCATACCAGCAATCAGAGTTGTTGTAATATCATTATAGACATACGGCAGTTGGGCCAGAGATTAGTGGTGCATACCAGCAATCAGAGTTACAGTGATGTCATTATAGACAGACGGCAGTTGGGCCAGAGATTAGGGGTGCATACCACCAATCAGAGTTACAGTGATGTCATTATAGACAGACGGCAGTTGGGCCAGAGATTAAGGGTGCATACCACCAATCAGTTACATTGTCATTATAGACAGACGGCAGTTGGGCCAGAG